GCTCATAAACCTCAAGGCTCTTCTCTCAACTGGAAGAAAAGTTCTTGTGTTTGGGAAAGGATTTGAACATACAACTGCATGTTGTATTAGCTGCATGAACTTGGCCAAAACACCACTTCCATGAACCTCCATTTTCTGATCTGCAAAGGGTTGGACTAGTCTCCAAGGCCCTATCTACTCTAAATCATATGAATCATGAGGGAGTCAGTTCCAGGGTAGTCTTCCGTAAAAGGTGAAGGAGTGAATTTAGGAGTCAGGAGCCCTGGGTCCTAATGCCAGCTCTGTCACTAACTTGCTGTGTGACCTTGGGCAGGTCATTTGACCTTTCAGGCCTCAGTTTTTCATCTTTAAAGTGAAAGGATTGTATTAGATGATATCTTATGTCCTCTTCAGCTGTAATATTTTGTGTTTCTAGGGCTCTCCCACCCTTCTTTTAGGCACTCCACTCTCTCTCCCCTGTACTAGCCACTGGGGCAGAGCTCTAGTTTGTATCCCATTCCTTACAGATCCTTGTTTTTACATAGTTGGAGGAAGTCAGCCATGTAGGGGACAGGAGAGCCTGTGAGACATTCTAGTGGTAGGCGGCATAACAATAGAGACACATCTCTGGTATCTTACTTGTCTTCTCTAGCAGGACATGGGTTGAAGGGTAAAGAGACGAGCCTTAACTTGGAAATGTGAGACCCACTTGAGCCCCTCCTTACCTGAAGAAGGCTGAAAACCTGGAGTAGCCAACTAGAGAGGAGGATTTGAGCCCTTACCAATAATCCTTTGCTGTGCCCTCTGAGTGAATCCAACGTTCTCTTGCTGTGTCAGCAGTCTCAAGACCAAATGAAGCTGACCAGTAGCATTCTCCTGTTTATGACAGATAAAGACCAGGTGCTTTGTACCAGACACTATCTTGATTAGGGGCATTTCTCTTGTTATCTTCTTTTAAGGCCCTCTCTTAAGACACTACATTCCTTTGCTTATGGCTGACAGAAACCAGACATCCTGGGGACACTCTCTTGTTCTATGGAAACTATAATTTTAGCTGACAAAAGACACCAGCATCCCAAGTCAGGAGGAGAGAACACTTCCTTATTCCATGGATATATAATCTCCTTCAACTAAGCTTTCTTTGAGCTCATTTTAACTGAGCTCCTCTGCATTCATATGCATGTCCACCCACTGTGAGAAAAATAAACGTGTGCATACAGCCTAATTCTGTTTGTCTTTCTTAGATCCAACCCTGAAAGGTTGACAGAGGGTATGAACAAGGTGGACCAAAACTCAGACGTCAGTTGAGGTCACCCATCCAATATGAGGAGAACAAAGACTGAATAACCATTTATTTGATAGGTATTGATACTTGTCGAGGTATGGACTGAACTAAATGATCACTGAGGTCCCTTCCAACTCTGAAATTCCAGATTCCCTGGCTTCCTTCAAGTCTCAGCTTCCTGCAAGCAGCCTTTCCCAGGCCTCCTTGCTTTTACTGTTTTCCCTCTGAGACTATCCCCAATTTGTCTGGTGTATAGGTTGTTTGAACATAGTTATTTGCATGTTGTCTTCTCCATTAGACTGGGAGCTCCTTGAGGGTAGGGACTGCTTTTAAATCTTTCTCTGCATCTCTAGCACTTAGTGCAGCATCTGGTGCATAATCTGTGTGTTCCCACTCCCCTTTTAAATAGTATTTTATTTTTCCCAATTACACGTAAGATAATTTTAAAACATTTTTTAAAATAAAATTTTGAGTTCCAAATTTTCTCCCTCTCTTCCCTCTTCCCTAAGATGGTAAGCAATGTGATATAGATTAAGTAATGATAAATGCTTAATTTATGATTATTGACTGACTAATGGATGAGAGGTCATGCAGATAGACATCTTTGAAGAATAACCAAAGTGTCTCGGACGCTAAAACAAAATCAGTGCTGAGGATGAAGGCATCTATATTGGTGAGGATATCTGTTGCCATCGATATGGAATCCCAACCTTATAAGGATGTGAACTGAATGTTGGAGGGCTGGAAGTGGTTTAACAACCTGGGTGGCTTCCTATTTAGATCCTTGGCTCAGACACATAGCCAGCATCACAGAATCTCACAGTTAGGCAACATCTCAAAGCTCATCTAGTCATACACACACACACACACACACACACATGACTGTATGTATATGTTTCTCTATATGTGTATGCATATACACACATGTGTGTCTACATACATATATACACACATATACATACATACACACATATTCCTCCTATAATACCCCCAACAAGTAGTCATCTAACCTTTGCATAAAGACCTTCACTGTGGGGGAAGGAAGGAAGTCCTTCCTGAGGTACTTCATTCCATTTTGGAGTGCCTCTAATCACTAGGAAGTTTTTCCTTGTAACAGGTAGAAATGGGCCTCACTACAATTTTTACCCATTGCTCCTAGTTGTGCCCTCTGGAGTCAAGCATCATGAGTTGAATCCCTCTTCCATATAATAGTCCTTCCAATATTGCTGCTCCCATGTGTCCCCTGAGTCTTCTACAAAACAAGCATTTCCTAGTTCCTTCGGTTAATCCTGTGACACAATGCCCTTCATCAACCTTGTCACCCTTCTCTGGAAACTCTCTAGCTAGTTAGTGCTCTTGCTAAATGGTGGTGCCCAGAACTGAACATCAGGACTGCCCTCATGCCTATGATGGGGCCATGAGAGGGAGCGATGTGGGTAGCCCTGCTATCCTCATTAGCCTTCGTGGGAACTATGGGATGACATGCTCTCACACCTCTGCCACTCTCACCGTCATTAACCTTTATGGCATTTATAGGGTGGCAGATATGAGGAAACATGGCATAGAGTTTATAGGCGATGATAAAAGGATGTAGAATCAGAAGAGATATCATGCAATATTACAGACAACCTGGCCAGATGGAAGAATCGAACGTTAAGTTCATGAACCACATTTCAAAGTTGGCAGAGGGTTAAAGTTATGATAGGAGACTTCAATTCTCAGGATATGTACAGAAGTGCTGAAATCGAAGCGGCAAGGATACATTCTTGACTTGACTTGCTGATCATTTCATCTTCAGAAAATGGAGGAAGAAGCAATGGGGGAATTCAGAGATTGACCTCAGAGTGCTGGACCAAATTGTGGCCACTAAGGAGGAGCTGAATGTTGAAGTGGAAATGATAGGCACCTTGAGAGGAAGTGGCCACCTTATCGAAGAGTAGGTAACAGATAAGGAGGGCACAACGTGTATCCTATAGATCAGGACTACCGATTTGGAGAAGTTCAGAAAGAAGGTTCCCAGGGTTTTGTTGCAAGAGTTTTCAAGATCTCTGCTAGCCACTGCATGAATAAGCCAGCACAGGATGCAGGCAGACAGATACATTTCAATTTCTCTATCCACTCAAGAATATGACATACCCCATCAATAGGTGACAGATACGTGTGTCTCACAATTCCACAAATCACACACACATACATGCATACAATATATGTACACATACACATATAAATATATGTATACATATAGATACATGTGCATGTGTTTCATCTGTGGAATTATGAGACACATGTGTCTGTCATCTATTGATGGGGTATGTTTATATATCTATATCTATATACACACATACAAAGAATATAGGTATTATATCTATCTGCTTGTCTGTGTGGTAGTCTACTGTCTGTCTATCTACTTGTCTGCTTGTCTGTCTGTCTCTATCTCTCTGCTTGTCTATCTATCTACCTACTTATCATCTATCTATCTATCCATCTGTCTGTCTATCCATCTATCTATCTGCTTATCGTCTATCACCCAGAGAGTTTGAGTAAGATGATATAGGGCACGTGGGTAGGAGAGAATACATTTTTTTAAAAGATGCTTAAATTATTACAAAAGAAAGAATGTGTTCTTTAACACAGCCATCTATGCTAGACCAAAGGATACAGTATCTTTGTGAGTTAATCAGCTTGCTTTTTTTTCTTCACACTTTTTAGTATTTTCTTTTTCCCCAGTTGCATTTAAAAACCATTTTTAGCATTCATTTTTAAAACTTTCAGTTCCAAATTCTCTCCCTTTCTCCTTCCACCCCACCACTCATTGAGAAGGCAAGCAATTCGATAGGTTATACATGTATAGTCATGCAAAACATTTCTGTAATAGTCATGTTGTAAAAGAAAACATAGACAAAAAAGCTCAAGAAAAATGAAGAAAGTAAAAAAAAGAAATATGCTTTAATCTGTGTTCAGATACCATCAGTTCTTTCTCTGGGGATGATTAGCATTTTTCATCTTAAGTCCTTCAGAACTGTCTTGGATTGTTGTATTGCTGAGAATTGTAAATCATTCACAGCTGATCATCCTATAATATTGCTATTACTTTGCACACAGTACCTTTCACTTTGCCTCAGCCCATGCAAGTCTTTCCAGGTTTTTCTAAGAACATCTTGCTCATCATTTCTTATAATATAATAGTATTCCATCATAATCACATACCACAACTTGTTCAGCCATTCCCCAATTGATGAGCATCCCCTCAATTTCTAACTCTTTGCCCCCAGAAAAGAGCTGCCATAAATATTTTTGTACATATAGTCCTTTCCCTTTTTTTATATCTGTTTTGGGATGCAGACCTAGTAATGGCATTGCTAGGTCAAAGGTCTGTATCGTTTTATAACCCTTCGGGCATTGTTCCAAATTGCTCTCCAGAATGGTCGAATCAGTTTACAACTCCACCAACAGTGCATTAATGTCTCATTTTTCCCAGATTCCCTCCAATATTTGTCATTTCCCTTTTCTGTCCTATTAGTCAATCTAGTATGTATGAAGTAGTATCTCAGAATTGTTTTAATTTGTATTTCTCCAATCAATAGTGAGTTAGAGTGTTTTTTTCATATGGCTATAAATGGCTTTGATTATTTCATCTGAAAACTGATCACATCTTTTGATCATTTATCAGTTGGAAAATGGCTGTTATTTATAGAAATTTGACTCAGTTCTCTATATGTTTGAGAAATGAGGTGTTAAAAATATGGAATGCTTCATGAATTTGCATGTCATCCTCACACTGGGGCCATGCTACTTCTGTGTATCGTTCCAATTTTAGTGTGTGTGCTGCCAAAGTGAGCACTCCATGTTTTCTTAGATAAGATAAAGGAAAGAAGAGGAGTCTGTAGAACTATACAAAGTTCTATGAGTTTTCTTTTGTAATTGTAAATCAATTGGGGGAAAGGAGATACCAAAGGAGACATGCCAAAGAGGCAAGAAAAAGTAAAAAATGACTATAATAACAACAAATGCAAGGACAAAGAAAATGGAGTCAGTTCCATTCTTCCCACAATTCACTTCTGACAGTCTGAAATTCTGAAAGGACAGGTAGTTCAAGAAGTATGGGAGACTCTAAAGATTTAAATTCCAATGAATTTCATTGAGGAATCATCACCATCATAGTAAGACATGACATTTCTATAGTGCTTTAAAGTTTGCAAAGCACTTTGCATCTGTTATCATTTGATCCTCACAATAACCCTTTGAGGAAGGTACTGGAGGTATTATTATTCTCATTTTACAAATGGGGAACAGGCTGATAAAGGCTAAGTGACTTGTCCAGAGCCACACGGTTCTGGTGATGGAGGCAGGTTGAAGCCAGTTCTTTCAGATTGCAAGTCCATTACTCTAGCCATTACACAATTAATAGAGGGTGGTGTCTAAAGACACTGATGTGACTCCAGAGGGAGCTCCTTTATGAGCTCCAGTTTAAAAAGGTATGTCCAGTAGATGAAAGTACCAGCAGATAAACTGAGAGCAAGAAAATTATAAAAAGACAATTAACAGCTTGATAAAAGAGGCACAAAAAAAATACCAAAGAAAATATCACCTTAAAAAACAGAATTTGCCTTATGGTAAAAGAGGCATAAAAAATCACTGAAGAAAATAACTCTTTTGGGGCAGCTAGGTGGCACAGTGGATGGAGCACCAGCCCTGAAGTCAGGAGGACCTGAGTTCAAATCTGGCCTCAGACTAAACACTTGAAACACTAGCTGTGTGACCCTGGGCAAGTCATTTAACCCCAATTGCCTAAAAAAAAAAAAAAAGGTGAGAGATTGCAGGGCAGCTGGGTGGTGCAGTGGATAGAGCTCTGGCTTTGGAATCAGGAGGACCTGAGTTCAAATCTGGCCTCAGACACTTGACACTAGCTGTGTGACCCTGGGCAAATCACTTAACCCTGATTGCCTCACCAAAAAAAAAAAAGCAAAAAAAAAAAAGGGGGGGCAGCTAGGTGGCACAGTGGATAGAGCACTGGCCCTGAAGTCAGGAGGACCTGAGTTCAAATCCGGCCTCAGATCAAACACTTGATACTTACTAGCTGTGTGACCCTGGGCAAGTCACTTAGCCCCAATTGCCTAAAGAAAAAAAGAAAAGAACTCTTTTAAAAGCAGACTAAGCCAAATGGAAAAAGAGGTACAAAAACTTCACTGAAGAAAATAATTCCTTAAAAATTAGAATTGGGGAAGTGGAAGTAAATGATTACAGGAGACTTCAAGAAGCAATAAAACAATGTCAAAAGAATGAAAAAAAAAGAAAATGTGAAAATTTTATCAGAAAAACAACTGGCCCAGAAAATATATCAAGGAGAGAGAATTTAAGAATTATTGAACCAGGTAGAAGCTAGGAGGTATAGTGGATAGAGCACCAGCCCTGGAGTCAGGAGGACCTGAGTTCAGATCCAACCTCAGACACTTCACACTTACTAGCCACGTGACCCTGGGTAAGTCGCTTAACCCCATTGCCCAGACCAAAAAAAAATTATTGGACTATCTGAAAGCCATGATCAAAAAAAGTCTAGATATCATATTTCAAGAAATTATCAAGGAAACTTCCTCAATATCTTATAACCAAAGAATAAAATAGAAATAGAAAAAATTCACTGATTACCTCCTGAAAGAGATCCCAAAATGAAAACTCACAGGAATATTATAGCCAAATTCCAAAACTCCCTGATCAAGGAGAAAGTATTTCAAGCGGTCAGAAAGAAACAGTTCAGATATCATGGAACCACAGTCAGGATCAGACAAGATTTAGCAGCTTTCATGTTAAAGGAGTGGAGGGCTTGAAATATGATATTCTGGAGGGCAACAGAGCTAGGATTACAACCAAGAATAACCTATCTAGGAAAACTAAGGATAATACAGTAGGAGGGAAATGGATATTTAATGAAATAGAGGACTTTCAAGCTTTCCTGATGAAAAGACCAGAACTGAATAGAAAATTTGGCATTCAAACAGAAGACTCAGGAGAGCTATAAAAAGATAAACATGAAAGAGTAATCATAAGGAGCTCAATAAAGTTAAACTGTTTATATTTTTATATGGGAAGATGAGACATGTAGCTCCTAAGGACTTTATCCTTATTAGGGCACTTAGAAGGAGTCTGCATAGACAGAGGGCATGGGTTTGAGTTGGTTATGTGGGGATGATCTCCAAAATAAGAATGTAGGAGTGAGAAAGAGGAATGCATTGGGAGAAGGTGGAAGGGAGAGAAAGAATAGGGTAAATTTTCTCACATAAAGGAGGTATGCAAGAAAGAGATTTATAGTGGAGGAAAAATAGGGGGTGGTGGCAGGCAATACTTGATCCTCACTGTCATTGGAATCAGTTCAAAGAAGGAAGAATATGTATACACACTCAGCTGAGTAAAGAAATCTATCTTGCCTAATAGGGAGATAGGAGGGGAAGGGGAAGACATATGGGAAGTGGGAAATGATAAGGAGGTGGGAGTATGGATCGGAGGAGGTAATGGTAGGAAGCCAGGCAGAATTTTGAAGAGGGACAAAAAAAAAGAGAAGGATAAATGGAGTAAAAAAAGGATGGAGGGAAATGTACAGTTAGTGATCATAACTGTGAATGTGAGTAGGAATAGAATGAGCTAACCCACAGAACAGAAACAGGAGAACGGATTGGAAAACAAAATGAATTGGAAGACATAACATTATGTTATGTACAAGAGACACATGGTACAGAAAGACATATACAGAGTGGAAATGGAGGGCTGGAGCAGAGTCTATTATGCCTTAGCTGAAGTAAAGAGGGCAGGGGTAGTAATCATGATCTCAGACAAAGTAAAAGCAAAAATAGACCTAATTAAAATAGATAATCAGGAAAACTACATTTTGTTAAAAGGTACCATAAATAATGAAGTAATATAAATTTTTTTTACAATAAGTTTCTCTGATAAAGGCCTCATTCCTCAAATATATAAAGAACTGAGTCAAATTTATAAAAATAAGAGCCATTCCCCAATTGATAAATGGTCAAAGGATATGAACAGGCAATTTTCAGAATAAATCAAAGTTATCTATAGTCATATAAAAGAACTCTAAATCACTACTGATTAGAGAAAGGCAAATTAAAACAACTCCAAAATACCACCTCACACCTATCAGAAACGGCAAATGCTGGGGGGAATGAGGGAGAATAAGTACATTAATGAATTGTTGGTGGAATAGTGAACTGCTCCAACTATTCTGGAGAACAATCTGGAACTATGCCCAAAGGGCTATAAAAGTAACCAAGAGAACTAGGGCCAGAGAAATCTTTCCTTATATAGTTAACTAGGGTGTTAACTGAATCGTTTTGGGAAACCTCAAACTTCCCTTTGTATTCTACTTGAGGAATATCAGTTATCATTATTGTTCCATTAAGTCAGGTTTTGGTAAGGTGGAGTTAACAAAAACAGAAGACAGGCTTTCAGTTAATCAAAAGTTATAGCAGGAATGGCCCTGATCCCTGAACAGTAAATAAAAGGAATCCGGGCACATCCCTCTTGTAGGCAGATATAAACCCCATGAAACATTAAAGCCAAAGCAATACAATAATGATCATCAATATTAAATAACATTCTCCTTGTTCCTGATAATCCACTTCCAATATCCATTAAATCTGTACATTTTGAGTCCTAGCTGCAGTTGACTGGTCCCTGGAAACATCTTCCTTTAGAAATTCTGGAATAGACCTCAGGGCAGCACTGGAGGGGGCTCCTCTTAGAAGATCTGCTGCCCTGATTCCAAGTCATTTTCAGAAATTCTGTATTGAATATTGCTAAAATCTTAAGTAAAACCTCCTAAATTTGTTTTTCCAATAACTAGTTCATGTGGCAATAACTAGCTCAGTCTTATGGAACTAATTCTATTAATGACAGAGCTATAAGAACATTAAATTAGGAACTCATAATTCACCTGAAAGTTCAGAGAATTTCAGATTTGATATGCAAATTGCTCTTTCTATTTTTACCTGAACCCTATACCTGATATGGATAGTGCCATCAACAGGTTGAAGGAAGAATCTTAAAAAAGGATCCATGAAGGCCTGGCTTATAAAATAAGCCCTTTTGTGTCTTATTATTATCAGACAGAGACTTCAAAATAGGGGAAAACATGATTTAAATTTTCTTTATAATTATTAATACAATTTATATCTAAAATTCTAAATCCGATTTTGAGAATTTATTACTAAAATATACTCAAAGCCTGTTATATTCCATTAGAAACACTAGAAGCCAATCATACACACACACACACACACACACACACACACACACACACAGAGTATATCTCCTAGTTCTTAGAGAAAAGTCTAGTTGCTTTCTCAAAGTTTGTTACTTCATCAAAATTTAAAACTTCCACATCTTTATCCTAACCCCTCTTTTGAGGACATATATATATACATCTATCTATATATATATATAGATAGATGTATATATATATAGATGTAAAATCCTCATACCATCCTGAAAGAATGAGACACTTTAAGGACCTAATCTTATACCTGAATATATAATGATTAGCAAGGGTATGGCAAGCTTAAGAATTTATTTACCTACTTGCTTAAAATATGGAGTTGACCACAAAATCAGATTAAAATGACTGAGATCTTTCATAATTGCATCCTATTGTAGTAATTCAGAAATGCTTTAGTATTAATCTATTAATTAATAGATTTAGTGTTTCCATGACAAAATCTTTTATAATTCACCTTCTCTGATTATGGAAATTTGTTATGAAAGGAAAAAGGAGGGATATGGTTATAACAATAACAAGCCTGTTCCTTCAAGGGCACAGACTAACCTGATACA